TAGGTAGAAATATGGGAGATAAACAGGGGCACCTTAATTTTTTGGTGGACAAAGCAACCTGGGTTTGACAAGTGGGAAGTTTTTGAGGATCAGAATAGTGATATAGGAAGAAATTGCAAAAAAGGACAGAAATCCGACACGGGTATATTGTTGACACATAGTTTTGGTGTCAACACCATATGGTAAGCATTCAAAACTCCGACACAGACGTAGTGTTGACACATAATTCAGGGATCGACACCATATGATAAGCATCCAAAACTCCGACACGGACGTGGTGTTGACACATAATTCAGGGATCAACACCATACGAAAGGGTTATTCTACTCATGTAATATGATACCTTTCAAGTTATGATGTTTATGGGTTTAGGGTACCCCTTGTACTCCGTTTATTAATAAATATTATTTTTTACTGTTAAAAAAAGTATAAAAAATAAAAAAAATAACAGTTAATTTGAAACAAACACAAGTTGACAATTTAGTATAAAAATAAGAGATAAACCTTTATATTTCCACAAGATAAAATACCCAAATCCACCCTCAAAGGATAGTGACAGGGACAGATCTACTCCCGAACAAAAAATGGGGATAAATCTATTTACAAAGTTTTCAATTTGGACAAATCACTCCAAATTTAACGTGTGATGTTATCTGATGTTAGTAATCCGTTAATTTGTTATGTTGCTAATAAGTTCATTATTAACACATTGCTGACATCAAATGACATCATACGTTAAATTTGAAGTAATTTATCCAAATTGAAAACTTTGTGAGTGAATTTATCCCCATTTTTTGTTCGTGAGTGGATCCGTCCTTGCTACTATATTTCGGGGTGGATTTGGATATTCTGCCATTCCACAACCCTTTTTGGTAGAAACTTAAGGATCCTAATCTAATCATAAAACTTATTATTTGTTCATATTTATTATCATAATTAAAAAGTTTTTTTTTTTGAAATTAATTTTCATCTTTTTTAGTAGCTACTACACACTTAATCATCTTTATAGTTTCATCATTTTGTTTATGGCATCCATTTGAAGATTCACATTTTAAAACTCTAGAATACGATGAATATTGTTTAATGAAGAACATGACTATACTACTAAGTACTAAAGGAAAAGATGCATGATAAAAGGGTAGGTTGGTCTCCACCACCCTTTGGTTCCATCTTGAACTACATGACCACCCACAGCATCTCTCGAACTCACCTTAAATCACAACAAAATCAAATAAAACTCCCTACCAAACCGCTAACACACAAGCTGAATTTTAGAATTAGTCATATTCAATTCCACTCACATCCAAACGCTATCACATCTTTAGACTCCAACCACGTACAATGTTAATATATATTTAAGGTGAAATCCATATTTTGTGTTGGCTGGCCTAAGCTTTGGGAGGTTTCAAATTACAGGATAGGTTGTCCTCATGGTGGCTTAAAGCGCGAGGACAACTTAGAAGAGTAGAGTAGGGGAGGAGATGAGGTAATGCATGTTGCTCAAGACATAAAGAAAGGAGGAAGAAGAAAGGAGGAAGAAGAAGGGAGGAACGAGAGAAGCTTAATTATATAACTTATTATTCATGTATTTTAATTTAATAAATAGTTGATGGGGCCGACTAATATAGAGAGAATCAAAACTGCCATGGCAGCAACACATAAGCTTATAATGACACCCTAGCAACAAGTGATGCGTGCTGATGTTAATTAACAGTTAAATTTGGGCTAATTGCTCAAAAAGCAATTTGTCTGATGGCATTTTTTTGTTAACTTTTTTCTATGTGGTGATTTGCTTCAAATTGAAAATTTCAATTGTTAATCTGCACTTTTGGCCAAAAATTAAAACTATAAACCAAATTAATTATATAAGATTGAAAATTTTACAATTTAAATCAATCCAATTCAAAGTAAGTTGGGATCAATTTTGCAATTGATTTGGTTCAATTTGAGTCAAATCAATAAGTTCTTATGAATATGAACCCCCTAATTTTTTCTATGGTAAACGGAAAGCATTGAGGGGAATCATATATTTGGAGATTTCTCTCTTTTTCTTGCCAATATGATAATAATGATTTTGGATTATTTACTTATTATGACTTTATTATAATTAACTCCCCTATCAATTCAAATTTCCCTATTGATTATATTTCTTGTATAAATAGGGTGCTATACTCTTTTGTTTGTCAAACAAAACCCACTTTGTAGCCATGGCTGACCCCAAGATCCAAATTGATATCCCTTCGAAGTTGACGAACAACTTTTGTTCATTATCATCTCACTAATGCTCTTCAAAGAAGCATCAAGAACATCCATTTCACATTTAACGGTCTACAAAGAACATCAAGTTTAACGAAACTTTCTTCATGAACACTCAAGTACATGAAGAGGAAAGGCGGGGGATTTTGTGGAATTGGGAAAAAAATGGATTTGGAACTACCAGGGACCCTTCATTCAAAAACCTTGTCTTTGAGTGTAATAGCAAAATCAAGGGTTAACCTTTTAGGTTGAGAACTCTTGAATGTGAGATGGGAATTTTATGGGCTGGGAACAAGAAAAGACAGTTTTTGAATGTAGGGCTCCTAGGAGTTACAAATCTATTATATTACAAATTTTACAAAACCCTTTATTCCAAGCCCTGTTCTTAAGAACTCATGAAGAAAAAGTTTTGTTAAACTCAATATTTTTAGTGAATCACCAAATGTGAGATAATTGCTTGGATAAAATGGATGATCTTACTACTTCTCTAAAGGGCAGTAGTAACATGGTAAGTGATGAACAAAAAGAGTCTGTTAACTTCGAGAAGGGATCTCAATTTTGAATCATTGGATCGACCATGGTTATAAAGACAATTTTGTTTAGGAGACAAGAAAGTTGGTGAGAAAATAAATTTATGCAAAAAATCAACCATCTTTGATATTTTGTTAACATTTTGAGGACTAACCTTAATTTAAATTTGATGAAGTAATTGTAATTAACTATTTCTTTTTGCAGCATCGATTAATTTACTTGTGCCAATCATGAAGCGAAAGAGTTTCTTTACACTTTTTTTAGTTTAAGGGTTTATCTAGGAATTTAGGGATGGTTAGGGGCTTATGGAATAGTTTTGCCCTTTAAATTCTATCCTGCACATCGTACTACAATTAGAAAGATCATGATCTTTGCTAAAAAAAAAATGGAAAAAAAGAATATGATCTTATATATATGGATCATCAATCATCAAATAAACTTACTTACAAATAAAATAATTCCAATATATCCTTTTTTGTCAAAATTTCAAACTAGAAAGTGTGGTTCATTTGACAATGTTTTGCATAGATTTTTTCACAGTCTTGTCCGAACAGATGTAGAGCTTTTTCCAAACCTCTTTATTGGTTCTTTGTCAAAGTTTCACGGAAGAATATGACCTCGTGAATGGAGCTGCAAGTTCTAGTCTCTTTGGAAATTGGAACCCTTTATCGGATATTTAATAGATGAATCTGTCTGTTGCTATGGGAATCTTGGGAGAAAAACCAATAACCTCTACATCTAGACATATCAGTAGAAATATATAGACATGAACACAACAACAAAAATTAAAAACTCCTCATTTTTGAAATCCCACTCCAAAAAATTCATATCTAAAGAGTTCTCTTTCTCTCTCTACTGGTTATAAAAGTTTTGTGGCTTTGATCTATAATTAATGGGGGCCGATAGAGGGGAAGGGGGAAAGAGAAGATGAGCTTGGATTCTATGCAGTCAAACTCCCAGGGAAGCAACTTTCTATTTTTAGCTCATATTTTCTTAAGATTTCAAGTTGATTTTGATGATTTTCTTCAAATATTGACATAGATTTCACTGATTTTGTTTGATTTCTTTTAATTTTAATGTCTTTTGATGAAACCATCAAGCAGCAGCGAAGAAAGCTTTAGAGTTTTGAAGGGATTTTGTAATTGATTGTAGTTTTAGGGTTTGTAACTTGAACAATGTGTGAAAGAGGGATTTTTGATGTATTTGGTTTATGATTTTTTTGGGTTTCTTATTGGTTTTATGTAGGGTTGAGCAAAAAAATTTGCAGCTAAAACAAAATCTAAAACCATAACCGACAAGTAGGGGTTGACAGGAGTTGGGTATTTTTTGACTAAATATCAAACCAAACTATTTTTATACGGTTTGAGTCTTGGTTGTTAGGTTTGAAAATTAAAAACCTAATGATTAGGATAATTATAAAAAAAAAATCTGGCTCATAAACATTTTATATAAATTTTTTAATAGTTTCTAGATTTTTTAAGGTTTTCTTGCAATTTCTCGCCAAATTATTTATTTATTTATTCAGGTAATTTTTAGTTTTTTAATGATAAAAATTAATAAAATAATAATTAAAATTTTTAAAATTATTAAAAAATGTAAACAAATAATTTTTCAATTAAAATCGAAACCGACCTAAATGGTTATTCTCAAAAATGTATCTGAAGCCAATAAAACCCATTATTTTGGTTTAATTAATGGTTATTAAAATTCAATACCCAAAGATTTGGTTAAGTGATGCCCACCCCTAGTTTTATGTATACATTGATTGGAAATATTTGATATACCCTTTAATTCAACGCACATTTTGACACCTACATAATTCAATCATTAAAATATAA